ACAACCTAAGAGCCAGGGCCCAAGCAGATCCCAAGGAAGAAGTGAACACTGCCTGCTGACACGCGAGTCGAGAAGCAAAATGCCACGAAACCGCATCTCGCAGGAGAGGCGCGAACAGCATCAACAATACAGACTATGCATGCACCACCAAGGGCAACGCACCAGATCCAGAGGCGGCTCCAAGCTCCTCCACATCCAACTCGAGCCAATCTGAGGACAGCTCGAGGAGGGAGACGAAATGCAAGGCCGAAGCCAGCAGGCCATGTGTATGCAAATCTTCTGCGACCACAGCAGCCGAAAGGAAGGAACCTGCACATAAAGCTGCATCACACCAACATCCCACGGAAGGGCAGGGGCGAACAAACATGCATTGAGATACTCAAATTCGCCCCCCCAGGAAAACCTGCAATGCTGTCTGAGCTTCCCTCCACTCAAGCACGTGGGACCAACAGAACGTATACCAAGCTTCCAACAAGAAGAGCGGGCAGTCTGCTAACCAGGACAACTCCGGAACTTCCTAACAAACCCAGTACGGATACAAAAATGACCGAGGAGCCCATGGGATCACGGAACCGAACCCAGGGAGGGGTAGACGCCAAATCCAATTCTTACAAGGAGGGAGCAAAGGAGGTAGGACTTGTAACACCAATCCCCACTCCAAGGGTACAAAAACCCAAGCGGGGGTCCAACAACGGGGTTCAAGGCCCCTAGTCAACACCCTCCTCCTGCCCCGGGAACCTCACCTCGAGGACCTGGGGCCGAGCCGTTCTCCAAACCCCCCGCCTCTATGGCAGGAGCAGCCGAAAAAGCAGGAACGAAAAGGGCCCACTGGTCAGGCCCAGAAGCTCCGGCTGGAGGAATAGGCTCGAATGTCTCCGCTCCAGAAGGAGAATTCCTCGAGTCCGCCCGAGTCTCAACACCAACTAAACCTTACCCCGACTCCGAAACCCTCAGACATTTCGGAGCCAAAAGCAAGGGTTGGGGGTGAGTTTGGGGACTGGATGAATCATGGAAGAGGAAGGACAAGAGGAGCGGACAGAACCAAAGTCGAAGCGACTCCCACCTCCCAAGTCCGGGTCCCTATAACCAAAACAGGACAGTCTCGGGGCATCCAGGGAAGCAACAAACCTATCGAGCTGCAGCACCCTAAACTTAGCATGCAACACCTCTACTGCTTGCACCCTCATATCATGTTCAGTAGCTTGGGTGAAGTGAAGCCCATACAAAGAACAAATGTCGCACGACTTCGGGTCAAAAGAATCACCGACCCGACAGGCAGCATGGTAGAGGCACAACCGGTGATTGTCACCCTGAGACAAGGGGACAGAACAACCATCAACCTCGCATGAAGTGAGAGGGAACACAAGGGTCATATCCATTGGACCACGGAGCCCCGACGGGGTTTCCCTGGGCCCTTAGCCTTGGTATCACACTAAGGGAAGCCAAGGCAGGGTACTGCAAACCGGTGCCCCAAAAAAACAAGCAAACTTCTAAAGCTGAACCCCCGGGAAGTGTCCACTCATGGGGGGGCCTAGCAGCGGGGTACCACCAAGAACACATATATGTATATAGAAAGACCCCCAATTATAGAATGGGGGTAACCAACCAAAGGCAGACCCCCACCAGGCAGGAAAACAAAAACAAAAGAAAAACCCCGCAAGAAGACAACGTACCCAGGCGGAATAGAGCCAGCCACCATAATAGGTGATAACTAGCTGTGCTAGTTATCACCCTGCGCCCCTACTAGTGACGAAAACTACCTGCTACCCAGAGGGGGACAAGGGCAACAAAACCCCCAGCTGACTCCAAGGGCAGCCAAGTATCATGCAGTAAAAGACACAGCAGAGGTAGGTCCCCAAGGTGAGTAATGGAAGGTGGCCCCAAGCCCCAAGGGCAGTACTTACCTAGCACCTAGGGAAGGAAACCCTAGGCGCATGCAGCTCGAGTACCGTAGAATATTACTCCGGGCTCACACACCACCTATAGAGACAGACCATGCCACAAGGCACAGAAACGAAACCAAAGCAGGAGCCAGAGGCACATGACCTGCCAGTATCACAGCAGCGAAGAACGCCAATTGGATCACTGGCGCCAGGGTCTGGGGCTCTCCTTTCCCTTTCCCAAGGAGGGAAGGAGGGTTGGGTTGCGCAGACAGCGGCACAGCAACGTGATGACGTCATGCTCGTTTGCTAATTTTTGCTTGGGGAGTTCTGTCCACTCGTTCGGCTTTCAGTAGCAATATTTTCACCAGAATGGGGGTTTGTTTTAGGGCGCCTACCTTTCTGGGAACCAGACCCGGTCAATGGCAGACATAGAATACTCCCAACCACACAAGGGTTTCTATAGGCCATTGCTCCTTGTGTCACTATGAGGGGGGCCAAGTTCTGGCTCGTGGTCCCCGGTAGGCTAGAGCTCCATGCACTTTGACTGATTCCAGAAAGCTAATAGATACATATCAGCCTGGATAGCTCCGGGGAGCCGACGGGACTCTCCCCAGAAAACGAAGAAATATCATAACATTATTAACTTATTAGTGATGTAATACAAATATTTTCCTACCATGATCAACCATCACCCACAAGCCAACAACACCCTTTCCCCATTCCATCATCCACTTGCAGAGGTGCCGGAGCAGTGCTCCGGCGAGCTCCTGCAGCACTGCACCACTGCTGCCGCCTCCCGGGTAAGTCCCCTCCTTTTACTTATCTTTGGGTAGTTAGCTTCAGGGAGCCAACAGGGTTTCTCACAGAAAACCAGTCTTGAATGTAATGAAACATCATTTTCTGGGTTAGCGCCGAAGACTCCCAGACACCCTCCCCCCCTCTGGTCGGTGGCTTTCATCGTTGAAGAACTGGAGTGGTGGGCTGCCGTCTCCCCCTTACCCACTTAGCTGGTGTGTTAGTTCCATGAAGTATTACTTGTTGGGTTTTTTCTAGCGGGAGTTACAGTATTTTGATCTTTTCAAATGTAGATTGCACAAGTTAACCAGACAGTGGTCTGTTTTGATTCGCCTACCTTTTTGGGCCCTTTCCTGGTCGATGGCAATTATGACATGGTACTTTAAATGTAAAGTGCTCATAGGCAATTGTTACCTGCACCTTTCTGAGGGGACCAGTTTCTGGCTTGTGGTCCCTGGTGGACATAAGGACTTCCATGACTCACCTTAAACTAATATAGCACATATCAGTGCAGATAGTTGTAGGGAGCCTCCAGGGCTCACCCAGAAAATACTGTAACCCCGCGATTATCCGGGATTCAAACATCCGGAAAACGCCCTTATACAGCCAAAATCGTGATCGGATAAAGTTATCACAATATCCGGCCAAAATGGCCACAGGAACCGGATAAAAGCTGGTTTGGCCGGATGAATATTCGGCCATTCCATATTAATCCCGTCTGTGGCTCTAGACGCATGGTGGAGGAAGGAGTGGGGTGGGTGGGTGGTGTCGGGAGGGTGGGAGGGGTGCGTCGGAAGGGACCACCTAGGTACAGGAATTACCATTAATTTTAGAACACTTAATCATAGCCAAAAACAAATGAAATAAGTACTAGTAATTATGTAATAACAAATAAATAAGTTTCCTAAAATTAATGTGCACAGGCTGAAGTTTCCTTCAAAAATATTGTGAGTTTTTTTCCTCCTGGCGGCCTACGTAACGTGCTATAGCTGCCCCACCCCAAGTGGACCTGTCCAACACTGGTCAACCCATGTGCATCCATCCCTCGTGTTACACACAGTGCTGGTCCATTAGTGAAATATTTTTTTAAATAACTTTTTTATTTTCATAGTAACTTTGAACATTTTTGGCCAAGACTATGTCTGGTAGCAGCATCAATCGTTCTGGAGGTGTTAAGAGGAAGAAAGTTGTCCTAACAATTAAAGACAAGTTACTGTTATACACCTCAACCAACTAGTGCGGCGTCACAGTGCTGCGCCATTAGTGAAATATCTTTTTAAATAACTTTTTTATTTTCATAGTAACTTTGAACATTTTTGGCCAAGATTATGTCTGGTAGCAGCATCAATCGTTCTGGAGGAGTTAAGAGGAAGAAGGTTGTCCTAGCAATTAAAGACAAGTTATGTGTTGTTCAACCAGTGAGGCGTCACAGGCAGCCAAATGCCTTCAACAAGTGAGGCGCCACAGGCAAGCCAAGCGCCTTTAACAAGTGATGCGCAAGCAAGCAAGCGCCTTCAACAAGTGAGGCGTCACAGGCAAGCCAAGCGCCTTCAACAAATGAGGGCATGCAAGCGCTTCAACAAGTGAGGCACATGCAAGCGCCTTCAACAAGCGAGGCCTCACAGGCAACCCAAATGCCTTCAACCAGTGAGGCTTCAGCAGCTGGCAGTCAAAACTAACTTTGCTTAATGATCTGTACAGTAATTTTAAGTGTTAATTTTAGTGTTGTGTTAGTATAAGTTACGTAAATTGTTAAGAATTCTTAACTTCAAGATGTGTGGCATCAATCAAGAAGACGAACACCAACAAGGTAAGTTGAGGTTTCTAGTTGAATATTTAATAATTATATGTGGCAAGGCAATTCAAATTATGTTGTTTGTACTGTAGTATAAAAGTAGTTGGAAATGGTCACTTTTGGACTCGTAGGTGAAAAAGTACCATTATCCGAAAAATGTGATAATCCGGCTGGGGGTCCTTCCCATATAGTCCGGATGATCGAGTGGAGACAGTAGTGTTTCATTACATTCAACGGTGTTTCTTTTGAGGCTGCAGGTCTCAGAGGTGGCCAGCTGTAGTTTGTTTTGACTCACTGACTTTCTGGATGCCTTCCTCTGTGATGGTATAAATGCCACAGCTCCCTGTGGCTCTGTGAGGGGGGCCAGTTTCTGGCTGTTGGTTCTCAGAAGGCCGTTGAACTCTGCGACTGATGGTACCTAGTAGATGGAACCTACATCGGAGATGGCAGCTTTAGGAAGCCACAAGCGACTTCCCCCAGATATATATAATAAAACATAATATAAAAAGGAAGTAGTCCACATCTACCTTTCTTCTCTCAAAATTAGGCCTATGTTTCTTTTGGTAGGCACTTCTGTTGACACCATACTGACACTCCATTACTTTTGTACCATTAAGTATGTAGGGAACACCATCAAACTCTGGTAGCGTATTTTCTCTTAGTTCTTCATGTTGCCACAAAATTTTACGATTCACAGCACACCAACCTGAAAGTTCCAGATATAATATTAGTAAAAAAACAGTGTTGAATGTAATGAAACGCCATTTTCTGGGTGAGTCCCGGAGGCTCCCCGGAGCTATCCAGCCTGAATGGATATGTATAACTTTCTGGCATCAGTCAAAGTGCTAGGAGTTCTTGCCTAGGGAGCTCCCCCGGGGGGGGGGGGGAAAGGGGGGGAGCCCCAGACCCCACAGTCGGTGACCCAACCATTAGTTCTTAGGCTGGATGTCAAAACGCGAAAACACCGCCGACTGGAGGGAGGGAGGGATGCCGGGGAGCCTTCGGGACCCACCCAGAAAATGGCGTTTCATTACATTCAACGCTGGTTTTCTGGGGGGAGCCCCGTCAGCTCTCCGGAGCTAACTACCCAAAGATGAGGAAAAAACAGGGACTTACCCGGATGGCGGTCCATCCTTACTCCTCAACGAGATGTCGAGACAACTGGCTGCAACCGCCGACTCAAAGCAAAGCAGGCCCAACCAGGCCCAGGAACATTCACCAAGTAGTGAGCGGCCAGGACCCTGTTCGATCTCCAAAAACCCCGGGTCCCGAATGTCCACCCAAGACATGTTGCCAAAAACGGCCGCCAAAGCAGCAAATTTATGAACGTCGTGGGCCCGGGAAAAATCCGCAGGTTGGCTACACTTAATAACCCTGCGGACAACCTGAGAGACCTGAGCCCCGGGAACAGGGAAGAAGGGAAACCTGATCAACCCAGAGCGCATTCCCCAGTGGAGCCTGATCGTCGATCCGCGAGCGACTCGAATCCTCCAGAACGACACCCACACAGCCGCGAACTCCCATACCGTGCTGTGAGCCCGACAGAAGGACGGACCCCACCGCCCCTGGCCTGCCTGGTGAGCACTGGTCACAAAACCCCAGCCAAGAGACGACACATCCGTGTACACATTGAGCGAGGGCTCGGGAAGGCACCAAACCCCGAAAAACCCAAAGAGGAAGCAGGCAACACAGCAACCAATGCAAAGCTCCCGAAGGCCGAACCCAACAATCGCGAGAGGTGGAAGGGCCGGCCCGGAAGAACCAGAACAGCCAATGAAGCCACACCCAACCCGGCGGATAGACCATCATGGCAAAGTTCAGGCTCCAGCACAAACTCTCAAGGAACTGCCTCGTGACCCGGGAACCCCTCAGAAACGGGTGAAGGTGGGACCACAGGCGCAACAGAGTCGCCAGAGGAAGAGTCGAGGAAGAGTCAAGGAAGCAGTGCAAGCGTCCCAAACCAGACCCAGCCAAGACTGAACCTGAGAGGGAACCAGATGGGACTTCCTCCAGTTCACCAAGAACCTGAACCCGGCGAGCTGGGAAAGAACCACATCCCTGGCGAGCAGACACGTGGACTGGCTGGGAGCCCAATCCAGCCAGTCGTAGAGATAGGCCAGCACCCAAACACCTAGCAGACACAGGCGAGTCACCACGACCCAAGTAAGGTGTGTGAAAATGCGAGGTGCCCGATTCAACCCGAAGGGAAGACAATGAAAGCGGTAACCCTGACACCCCACAACAAAACCGAGCAAGTCCCTGAATCCCGGATGAACCGGGACGTGCCAATACGTGTCCTTGAGGTCCAGGGACACCATCCAAGTGCCCTCCTCCAAAAGAAGACGGACCTGGGACAGCTTAGTCATCGAAATGACAGCTTAGTCAGCTTTGTGCCCATCGAAATGATGGGCACAAAACCCACGGGTTCAGACGGGACAAGTCCAGAATGCACCGAAGTCTGCGCAGTCCCGTTTCGGGACTGGAAACAGGTGGGAAACCCACCTGAGGGACGATGTCGTTTCGACCACGCCCAACCGAACCCACTCTGAGATGACCCGACAGAGCGCAGGAGAAGAGGCCTGCCCCAAACCCGCCAAGGGAGGAAGAGCCACCCAAAGCCACCATAGGCCGCACGAAACGACCCGAAAAGCCCACGAACCGTGGGACCAGGCGTGAGCAAACTGGGCGAGCCCCCCCCCCAATCGCCCCGTCAATGAAACGAACCGTGAAAGGGCCAACGCGCCTTGCGAGAACCTAAGCGCTGAACAGGACAGTCCCCAAACCGACCAGCAACAGCTGGAACCGAAGGCGCCACCAGCCCCGAATCCAGCACCAAAGGCCTACCCTGACGAAAAGACCCCCCCCCCCCCGAGCCCTGGCATGACTCTTCCAGGAAGGCCCCCCGCGAGCCCCCAGGAGCAACAACAACTCAGACATAGGCCGACAACTGACCGAGGCTGCCTGCAGATACTGCACCACAGCAGACTCCGCAAACAGCAACGGACAAAAGGGCGAAGACAAACGAAGAGCCAGAGCCCAGGCGGACTCCAAGGAAGAAGCTAGCACTGCCTGACGACACGCGAGGCGAGAAGCATAGAACCGCGAAATCGCATCACACAGGATAAGTGCGAAGAGCTTCAACAAAGCAGACGACGCTCGTACCACAGAGGGCAGCACACCAAACCTGGCAGCGGCCCCAAGCGCTTCCACATCCAACTCGAGCCAATCCAAGGACAGCTCATAGAGTGAAAAGAAACGCAGAGCCAAAGCAAGCAGGCCATGAGTCCACAAATCCTCTGCAACCAAGGCAGCCAAGAAGGAAGGAACCTGCATGTGAAGCTGCAGGACACCAACATCCCGTGGAAGGGCAGGGGCAAACAAACAAGCATTAAGATGCTTGAAGTCCCAACCCAGGAAAACCTGCAACGCCGTAGAAACCTCTCACCACTCAAGCGTGCGGGACCGACAGAACGTGTGCCAAGCCTCCAACGAAAAGAGAGGACAGTCTGCCAACCAGGACGACTCCGGAACTTCATAACAAAACCACTACGAACCAGGGGATCCATCACGAAGGCATAATCCGGGTCACGCAGGAGGTAAGCCGCCAAGGCCTCCTGCACCTCCGAAGATGAAACACGGGAAGCCGGAAACCTCTGGAAAGACGGAACCGAAGAACCCGCAGGATCATGGAACCAAACCCGGGGAGGGGTGGACACCAAATCCAATTCATACGCGGAGGGAGTGAAAGAAAACCCCTCACCTTGTAACACCAAGCCCCGCTCAGAGGGTAGAAAAACCCAGGCGGGGTCCAACAGGGCCCAAGGCCCCCAAGCCAACCCCACCCCAACCCCCCCAACCCCAGGAACCTCCCCCAGAGGGCCTGAGGCCGAGCCATCCTCCTGAGCCCCCACCCCCAAAGAAAAGGTGGGAGCAGCCGAAAAATCAGGAACAAAGGGGGTCCACTGGCCAGACCCAGAAGCTCCGGCAAAAGGACCAGGCTTGAATGCCTCTGCCACCGCCCCAGAAGGGGACACCCCTGAGACTGCCCGAGTCTCACAACTAACTAACCCAGTCCCGGCTCCGAAACCTTCAGATGTTTTGGAGCCGGCAGCAATTAAGACCAAATGGGCAACAGAAGGGGAAGGACTTGGAGGGGCGGATGGAACCAGAGCCAAAGCTACTCTCACCCCCAAGTCCAGGTCCCTATAACCAAAACGGGGCAGTCTCAGGGCATCCGGGGCAGCAACCAACCTAGCGCGTTGCAGCAACCTAAAGCGAGCATGCAACGCCTCAGCTCCCCTCACCCGCATATCAGGCACAGTAGCCTGGGTAAACTGGAGTACGTACAGACAACACACGTCGCACGACTCTGGGTCAAAACAATCACCGACCCAACAGGCAGCATGGCGCATTCAAAACCGGTGAGTGTCCCCGAGACAAGAGGACAGAGCAACCTTCAAACCCACAGGATACGAGAGGGAGACTCAGGGGTCACATCCATCGGACCACGTAGCCCCCGTGGGGTTTTCCAGGGCCCTTAGCCTTTGTAACACGCTATGGGAAGCCGAGGCAGGGTTATCTTGAGATGATTTCGGGGCTTTTAGTGTCCCCGCGGCCCGGTCCTCGACCAGGCCTCCACCCCCAGGAAGCAGGCCGTGACAGCTGACTAACACCCAGGTACCTATTTTACTGCTAGGTAACAGGGGCATAGGGTGAAAGAAACTCCGCCCATTGTTTCTCGCCGGCACCTGGGATCGAACCCAGGACCACAGGATCACAAGTCCAGCGTGCTGTCCGGTTGGCCGACCGGCTCCCTGGGGTCGGTCGGTACTACGAACCGGGTACCGGGTACTGCGAACCGGCACCCAAAACTACCAAACAAACTGCTATAGCTGAAACCCCGGGACGTGTACACTCACAGCAAGGAGGACCACCAACACAAAATGGAGAAATAAAGATATAGATATACCCCAAGAACAGCGATGGGGGACCAACATGCAGACCCCCCACCAAGCAGACAACAAAAACAAAAGAAAAAACCCACAAGAGGACAACGTACCCGGGCGGAATAGAGCCGGCCGCTGTTAAGGATGAAAACTAGCTGTGCAGTACCCCACGCCCCTGCCAGTGACGAATACTAACCCCTACCCAGAGACAAACAAGGCCAAGAAAAAACCCAGCTGACCCCAAGGGTGGCCAGGTACTGAGCAGTACACGGCACAGCGGAGGTACTGGGACCCCAAGGGGACCCAGGGAAGGTGCCCCTAAGCCCCAAGGGCAGTACTTACAGGGCACCTAGGGAAGGTGACCCTAGGCGCATGCAGCCCGAGAACCATGGAATATCACTCTTGGCCCACACACCACCGGAAGGGACAGCTCACACCACAAGGCACAGAACTGCAACGGAAAACTAGAGCCAGAGGCACGACCGCACCAGATCCCATCAGCCTAAGAACTAATGGTTGGGTCACCGACGGTGGGGTCTGAGGCTCCCCCCTTCCCCTCCCGGGGAGGTGGGGTTACGCAGATAGCAGCACAGCGACATGATGACGACATGCTTGTTTGCTAATTTTCGTTTGGGGAGTTCTGTCCACCTGTTCGGTCTTCGGTAGCAATAGTTTACCAAAATAGGGGCTTGTTTTGGGGTGCCTACCTTTCTGGGTGCCTATCCCAGTCGATGGCAGACATAGAATGCTCCCAATCATA